CCCGATATGATTTGAATGTTTTGAAATTTTGTCTCTGAGGCCTGAGTACAGGCCGGTCATGACCTAAACTTTTAGGGGCGGGTTTGGGTCATGACGTTTGGGAAGGCCAAAATTCTTTGAAACCACTCGCTGAACCAGGCTAGTGCTTAGAGCCATATAGGGCACACCAGTGAGAACAGAATGGTGGTAGGAGTAATTCTTGTGTGAGATCTATTGTCTCAGTTTACAAAAAGGGCAGAGCAGTTCAAGATGTCATATTCACTGATCAGCCAGTAAACTCGATAGGTTTTCACTGGAAGACGTTCAAAGCTAGAAGCTACCTTCTCTAATGTCGAGGTTAGTCCATTGTACTCTCTCTCCAAGTCATTATTGTTGAACGGTGTCTGTTTGTTGAGTCATTCGGTCAATTTTTATTCATGTTGGAGATCGTTGGAAAAAATGGGTTTTTGGTGACTTCAATTAAATATTAAAGTGGGCCCCAACCATCTATTGTATTAGGTCCGAGTGGGTCTAGATACTTTGCAATGAGATCTTTACACCACAAAAAGAATATCCAAAAATCATTGAGAATTGAATGAGAAATTGCCTCATGAAGTTAACTTCATGAAAGAGGTAGTGAGATTAGTGTGTATAATTTGTTTGTAACTCCAGCCATAAAGGCAGATTAATAGTGCATTAGTGGCCAGCAATAAAGGCTGGAGACTCCTCCTCTCTCCCCTATACATGTATAAATTGAGACCCTCATGTCTAGTCTCAACACAAAAATTTTTGCTTCCATTTTCCAAGTCAGTTTTTCAGAAAGTTCCTACAGTGAAAGAGTGCTGCCACAGTTTTTGTTCGCTAAGCTAGACAGGGAGTACTTCTGCCGTAGTTGGTTTTTGACCGTCGTATCTTGGGAGACGGACGCCAGAATTCCTCAAGCACTCGACCCATGAGGCGGCGAAAATCTGTTTTAAGGAAACTGCTACCGTGCAGGGTTCGATTTACTTTCTTTACCATTTTATTGTATTGTATACTTCTATTGTAATTTAGTTGTAATTCTCAGCATGTGTTCTTGGTATATAATTTTGATTTATTCTTGAATCTATGTATTTAATTTCACAATTTGGACAACAAAATGAGAGGGCGGATTGATAGTCCAACGGGCTTAGTAATCTATTTCGGTAGGGAGATTAGCTTGGTTGGGTAAATAGTGGGATTAGAAAAATAGTAATTGGTTTGAGTTTATTTTATATTTTTAAAAAAAATTATTTTTTTACCAAGTGTACCTGTTTATTTTAATATTTGTTCTAATTTTTTTTAATTTATTTTATATAAAAATAATTTAACAATCACATCACTAACCATTTCCCATACTATCATCAAAACAAACATATTTTTACTTAATCTCTCACTAACAATCCTCACATTAATAATCTCTTTACTAACCATCTTCTCACTAACAATCTCATCCAACCTAATCTGCCAAACAAATGTGGCCTTAGATCACATTTATTTACCCGCTTGAGAGCGAGGATTGGATTAGCTTGACTGTCAAACTCCTCACAGCGTGTTTGGTTGTGAAATGAGAGGCTGGATTGATACTCCAATGAGTTTAGTAATCCCACTCAGTAAGTAGATTAGCTTGGCCAGGTAGACGGTGGGATTGGAAAAATAGTCAAGGGATTAGAGTGTACCCGGACATTTGAAACATTTTTTTATTTTTTATTTACCAAGTGCACCCATTATTTCTATTTTTTATATTTGTTTTATATTTTTTTAATATAGTAATTTTTTTATTTTATATAAAAATAATTTAACAATCCCATCACTAATCATCTCTTCCATTATTATCAAAATAAACACACTTTTACTTAATCCTCTCACTAACAATCTCCACATTAACAATCTCTTCACTAACCATTCCCTCACTAACAATCCTGTAGACACCCCATTTTAACCGACCCTAAGACTTGAGCGCTTTCTTTTGATTATCCGAGGATGAAAACAAGAATGTATTTCTCACAAAATTCTAAGTAAGAAAGATGGAATTTGTGCTTCATTTCCAAACCTAAACCTGTTTTGACCAAGTATTCAAATCCTGTTCAAAACTCTCTTTCAAAACTTTCTTTCCGTGCTTTGTTCCAAATATTTTCATAGTGTTGCAAGACTCACTTTTAAACTTCAAAATGAAACATTTTCTTAGGAAATTGAGCAAAGAACAATATGAAAATAGGAGGAAATGATGATAATTCTCTCGAAAAATCATGTTTCAAGCATAACAGTCAGCCACGGCCAATATTTTGGCTGACCAGCCACTTTTTCCTAGACAGAATCAAGCAGCCTCCTAGTGTCGAGCAAAACAGTCTCCGACGGTCTCCGAGGCCCCCCTAAAGTTTCTGTTTTTGTTTAGTTTTTGTTTTAATTAGAGAGATTGTGAGAATTTAATTTTTGTTGTAATATTTTATTCCTCTCGTCCCTTATTCGGATATGTAATATTCAAAGTTGTAATAATTCCCTGCCCTGCTTCTTTCTATCCTGTTCTTTATTTTTCTTTCCATATTCTGTAAATATGTATGTTATTTTGCTTGTCATCATTTCTATGCCTTGCATCTATGTTTTATGTTTTAAGATCCGGCTAAATTTGCACCTGTGTGTTTAATTGATTGTTATGTGATTTTTGTGCACTACTTCATGTTTTGAGATAATTCACTTGTCATATATTAGAAGCGGGATCTGTAATTGCATGTCATGAGTGAATTACATTAGGATCTTATATATAGAATCATGTATATTTTACTAATTTTGTTTTGTACCTATTTGCGGGACATCAGTAAATATGTAAGTTTTTGTGCTTTAGCATCTCGCCTGTGTGTGATTTTTTTACTATGTTTAGCATCTTACTATGTGGCTAGTTGCTTATTTGATGTAACTCTATGCATGCCAGTGGGTGAATGTTGTGTTATTTAATTTGAAATAAAATTGATTTTCATAATTACACTATTCAAAATCTTTTCGAAATAATGAAATCAAATTATTCTAAAATGAACGACATAGTTTATATTTGTTTACTTCACATAGTAATTTTAGCATTTATTAGATAACCGGAATATGAACATATAAAGTTAATAAAAATTATATAATAGCTTAGTAGAGTCCGATCTTTTGATTAAGTGAGTGCACACGCGCGCGCCGGGGGGTGCTCAGTTAATGACATTCCCTCCTCATACCTAAGATTCCAAGCCAATCATTATTGGTTACGACGAACAGTGGCCTTGGCACGAGTCACGAGTTTCCTAATTTTCTCAAAATATTAGGTGGCGACTCTAAGCTCTGGTGACGTAGTCCATTTCTAGTAAAAAGTTTGTAATAAAATGAATTTTTTTATAAAAGTTATCAAATCTGAACTGTCATCTATGTTTTACATTGCACTCGTAAGACTAGATCAAAGATAATAGCGAATTCGAACTATTAACATGCTTGGGTACACCCTGGGCATATTACAAATCTCATCGAACATAATTCACCAAACAAATGTGGCCTTGGATTGTGGCCTTGGATTGTTAATCCTATCACAAACTTCTACAATCAAATATTCTCTATATGGTCCTCTCTCACTATTAATCCAATCCCCTCATTCATAAAGCCAAACAAACATGACCAAAAAAATAAAGATAAATGCTTTAAGGTTTGGTTTTAATTTTCAGAATTTGTTTTTAGAAAAAAATAAATAATTTAAAATTTTCTTATTATTTTCATATAATTTTAATATTTAATTTAATTTAATTTTATCAGATTAGTTTCAATTTTTCACAAAAAATCAGAAAAGTATTTCCGAAATCAAACTCAACAAAGCCTCTCGCTTTTATAAACACAACTAACACATTTATAAGATATATATATATATATATATAGTGGGAAATTTATTAGAAAATCTTTTTTTAAGTGTTTATATCCTAATTAGTCCATAAGATATTCTTGTACCAAAAAGCCCTATTATCTTGAACATTTGATCTACCAAATCATAATTTTCATATTTAAAATATTTTATAGACATTTTTACCCTTATAAATATTTTTTGAACGGTTAGTAATTTGGTAATGTGAATATTTACATTGACGTGTAAATGTTCACATTGGTAGTATAAACATTCACATTGATATGTTAACATTCATATTGATGGTGTGAACATTCACATTGACGGTATGAATATTTACATTGACGTGTAAATGTTCACATTGGTAGTATAAACATTCACATTGATATGTTAACATTCATATTGATGGTGTGAACATTCACATTGACGGTATGAACATTCACATTACGGAACATGCACTGTAAATGTGAATATTATTGGGGGTATTTTGGTAATTATATCACCCATAGGACTTATTGGAATATAAAAAAATAATGTGGACTAAATGAAACATAAGTAGGTGAAAAGAGATTTATGAAAAAATACCCCATATATATATATATATATATTTAAAATATAAAAATAAATATTAAAAAATATGTTTAACCAGTTATTGATGGAATGGTGAAAATAGTGGAGGTGGTGATGACTGGATGTATGAATGAAAGAGAAATAAATAAAAACTAATATTATTATTCTTCAAAAATCGATAATTTTGAAACTTGATTTAAATTTTTTTTTTTTTTCCAAATAAAATAATTTTTGAATATATTTTTGATTTCCAAAACAAAAATATTACCAAATGTGACCAAGCTCACAGTCGAGCAATAGAGTCGCACACTAATTAGGGCTCCAACGCTCTGGCTCATGCAGTTGCATCTACTCAATTCTCAACGTTAACATCCTTCCCCTTCGTAAAAGTATGTTTTTCATTGTATTAACAAGGCTTACAAAAAGTCTTACAAAATAAAATGTTCAAATCATGGACACGAAACCTATGTTAGATCTGATAAACCCCTCAAATTCTTGAGTTCAAATTTAAAGATTTGAACGAGAGACCCAACCCTAGCATAAAAGGAGAGTCAACAATGTCTAAAAATAGAGGTGAAATAAATGACAGTGCTTCCTTTATATTTTCCCTTAAATATACATACTCATCATATAAATGGATATCATATGTTACAAAGCAAAATTTTGTAGTGGTGCAATAAAAACCACAGCAATTATGTCATTCTCAATCAGTGTATGGGTCCTCAAGCGCCAAAAATAAAATAAAAAAATTAGAGTAGGGAACCATCTCAAAATTCCCAACACATTCCTGTCTTCCCCCTATCCAATAAGGGGGGAACATCACAAATCCTGGAAAATCATAATTCCAAGTTTCCAGTAATGCCTAAATTTGTTTCCATGGATCACTAACTAGAAAACAAGAGACCCCCAATAACCCGAGTCATGGGCGTCGTGCAGGGGTGCTACAATCTGGAGAACCGTGAGCAAAGAAGGCCGTGCTTGTGTTGCATGACAATTTATATCGACAAGGAAATGATTTCACTTTCAGAACAAGGAGGCTGGGCATACTGCAACATAGATCTGCACAATTGATTCCTTGAAGAACAGATCTGGAAGAATAATGAATCAAAACCCATTTAGAGGATGATCAACAAAGAAGCTGAATCCATTTGGTGCCGATTTAGAAAGGAATGACGTATGGCAGAGCAGTGACATCTGCAGACTCTATCCTAAAAGCTTCAGCCCACACCTGTGGCGTCCCATCAACCTCGAAAGAACTTGCTTTGGTATCACTGCTGAACAACCAGTCCTGGTCATCAAAATCAGACAACTCGGCCACTTCGGGAACAGAAAGTATTTGGCTCAGATACTTGTAGTCGGGATGTGGAAGCTTCACAGATGCCTCAACTTTCTCCTTAGCTCGTACAGGAGTAGAAGACAAAGGCTTACTTGAGCAAGCATTTAGTTGTTGAGCCTCTTTCAAACCATTTACCCTCGCTTCTTTATCTGTCTTGCCGCTATTGTCTGCACTCTGCCTCTCTGATGCAGGCTCAATGGCACTAGGGTGTGATTCCAATTTTCTTCCATTTTGCAGGATTTGGGGACGGGAAGAAACCTTAACCTCCACCTTATGGTTACTGGCTGCCGCCTGCCTCTCAAATGCAGACTCAATGGCACTAGGCTTTGGTTCTAATTTCCTTCCATTTTGCAGGATCAGGTGACAGGAAGAAACCTTAACCTCCACCTTATGGTTAGTGGGCGCCGCCTGTCTCTCACATGCAACCTGGAGAGCAGCTTGGCATGGTTCCAATTTTCTTCCGTTTCCCACAAGCTGATGTGAGGAAGAGACGGATCTCGGTAACTTATTAGGCCGAATGTCATCATCTGTAACAAAGTTGAAAGAATAAAGTACATGCAAAATATTAGAGATCAATATCTAGAACCCAAAAATTATCCCCAAAAATGTCCTGCCAAGAAGCTAAAACATCAACTGTCATCCTGAACAGCCAGGAAGTGTAAGACCTAATTTAGCAAGACAATTTTTCTCTCAAGTGTGTATAAGAAGGTGACGTCAATAACAGTTAAGACCTAATTTTAGCCAAACAATTTTTCTTTTTTCTTTTCGAAAAGAGCATATAACCAGGCACCTTCAAGAATTGGTGGTTTACGCACTGGACCATCAAAACCTGCAACACCTCTATCACGTCCTTGGTGGCAAACACAGCAAAGTCCATGTTTCCAATCACAGGATAGTGTTAGAGGTAATGCAGTGAAATCATAGTACAGTACGGGAAAGAACTCACCATGTAAAAATCCATTCACTTTAAGCTCCTTCCGTTTGCCAAGAATTCCATTGTCAGTGGAACTCTTGTCGCCCTCCTTCAAAAGATATGATGGTTTTATATTGTGACTGTCTATGCCATCTTTGCTGCCTTTTCCCAATATCGGCTGCTCTTTATTTGGTTCTTTCTCCTTCGCTTTCTCCTTCGCCTTCTCCTTCTCTTTGGTCCTGTCTTTATCCTTTGATTTTCTCTTTTTCTCACGTTCTCGATCCTTGTGTTTATCTCCTTTACCACCACCATCCTTGTGTTTATGCTTCTCTTTCCCCTCCCTCTGCTTCTTGACATCCTTGTCCACTGGTCCAGCCGCAGCCCCTTCAACCCCTTTTTGATCCATCCCACTAAAATCTTGAACAACAGCATTTTCCACACCTCTTGCCTCAATTTTGTTTTTTTGTCCATTAACATTTCCACCAACTTCTCTCTTGTTATTGTTCTTTTCTTTTCTTTCAATTGAATTGCCAATATTGCTCTCCACAACCCTCCCTGGCAGTTCAGCCTTCCCTTGATCTGTGACACTAATACTCTGAAGCATTTGGTTTTCTCTAGCTCCACCATCATCTCTGATTCTCTTGACCAACTCCAGCAAAAATTTAGTGCCTGCAGTCTCACCACCCTGCAGACAGTTTGATCCAAGCTTCTCGCCATTTTGGCCCTCCAATGGGCCTACAATATTTTTCTTGTCTAATGTCTTTTTCTTTTCTTTATCCCTATCCTTATCCTTCCTATCTTTGTGCTTCTCCTTTCGGTCTTTCTTCTCTTTATGTTTTTTGTCACTTATCTCTTTGTCCTTTTTCCTTTCTTTACCTTCTGTCTTTTCTTTGTCCTTCTTATCCTTCTTGTGCCCTTTTTCTTTGTTTTTCTCCTGAAAATAATGTTTCAATTACATATATTGGGACTTAGTCAAATAATGAAAGGGTAAATAACAATCTGAAAATACATGAGAGAAGTTCTGGATAAGAAGTGTCAAAGAATAAGCAAGACTAAAAATCACAAAATTACTAAAAAATGGGCTTTTTAGAAGACAAAATGATCAACATGTCAACAAAAGATACCCAAAATCATTAACCATTACATTGACTTGATGAAGCATAAACTGATGAAAAAGGATCATGCCAAAGGCCCTATCTATAAGGATAATACAAGCACAACTATAATTTACGACACAAAATGCTAGGTAGTGAAGGACAACATGCCCACGAAACTATCATAGAATGAGTACATTCAGACAACTAATTTGCAAATGAGAATGGTTACAGTTATAATGAACTACAAGGAGTAACAAGCTATATTCTTCAATTCAAGTATTTCTTCTTCAATGGGCATTGGTTGAGGATCAAATATAATTTCAAAAAAGTTAAAAACTCCAATATGTATTACACTTTCTCATACAGTTTAATATGCTTTTATACACTTCACATATTTCATACATTTTTTACACATGCTATGTCTTCTTCAGTTCTGAGTTTTAACAATGCAACATTACCCAAACCTAACCTTAGGTCCCATCAAATGAGATCGGCTATATGAATCCTTCTCCACTCGACTCTATCAAAAGCCTAGTTAAATTAACAAGATTCATATCTCTATTTACTGCACTAACCCACGTCAATCAAGGTCTGCCCTTCCACTAACACTTTCATTTACCGTCATTGTATCGCATCTCTTCACTATTGCCTTTGTTGGTCTCCATTGTATATGATCAAACCATCTTAATCTATTCTCTTTCAACTTATCTTCTATCGGTACTACTCCTACCCATTCACAAATATACTCATTCCTTACTCTATCTTTTCTAGTCTTGCCACTCATCCATCTTAGCATCCTCATCTCAATAACACTCATCTTATCTACATGTTCCTTAGTTGCCCAACATTCCGTCTCATATAACATCGCTGGTCTAATAGCTGTTCTATAGAGCTTTCCTTTTGCATGGGGGAATTAAACTAATCCGTGTCTCCATTTAAAAATCAACTTTCTAAAATAGACTCCAATTCAAGATAAATTTCAGCATCTAATCATAAATACCTTGAAAACAAACATAATGAAACATAAAACAAAAACAGTGTAGATCAAGAAAGTACGCAAGGAGCTTGCAATAGCATATTAATGTGTTTTTACAAAAAATATCCAAAAGTAGATATGGGCAAACCCATGTCTATGCCATATTATGCTGTATCTGAAAAGGGAATTTCACACCTTTGAGGGATGAGTGTACCATAAATTATGAAAAAGAATTAACAAATCTGCATAATTGTAGAGGCATCAAGAATCAACAACTTCTAGCACACAAGAATTGCGGAGCTATAGGTTCACCGCAACTGCTCTTTCCTCAGGCACTAGTTTGTACTACTTTTTTACCTCTAACATGTAGTCAGTTTTACCGAGGGCTTTCGTGAAAAATTATAGTGCAGCAGTACTGTATCTTAGTATTTATAATTAACAATACACAGATCCCATCCAAGAACGAAATGCAAATAAAATAAAATCTCACAATACACAGAACCCATCCACATGAAACTCGAAACAATTGGGAGGGTATTTCCCTTAATCTTATTTCTGCAGCTTAAAAAATAATTTTTAGATATTTTAACTGAAAAATAAATTAAGAAAAATACTAGAGGTGGCTTAGGAAACACTTGAGGATTGAAGAAAGATGCTGAGTTATGCAATATTTTTGCGATTATATACTCAAATTTTAATTTAGAACTTTGCCTCTTTTAATCAGCCAAGATTAATTGATGATTCTTCTCCACATGAAGCCATAAATCAAAACAATTTTGCTATTAAAACACATCTATAGGTATCTGGACTTCCAACTTTTTAACAGCAGCATGATTAGAAAGAATGAAGACATTCGCCGATCTTTTAATATATCACAAGGATATTATTCAACTTTTTAGCAACTTGTGTAAATTCATGTATTTTACCACATAATAAAACAGATGATAAGGAAAATATAAAAAACTGTTACACAGTCCATTATATATAATTCACAAATTGCGATTGTTCTCCCTAAAATACTAGGTCTCCATTCTACAATAATGTTCCATCATAGAATGCATACCCACTGAACATACATAGCTGAAAATGTTCACCTAATCATCTATAACTCACCGATTTTGATTGTTCTCCCTAAAATACTAGGTCTCCATTTTACAATAATGTTCCATCGTAGAATGCATACCCTCTGAACATACCTAGCTCAAAATGTTCACCTAATCCCTTAATTCCCAAACATTCCTCATTACAATTAATCAGTGTTTCCTTTTATTTTGCATCAAAAAACCATAATGAACTTCAAATGCTCAGCACAACTTTCCAAGAATATCAATAGAATTAAGTTATGGCTACCATGCATTCTAAATGAAATAGCATATCCATACAAATGGGTAGCAAAGACAATCAATTAAAAAGGAATTCCATATAAACCTTTGTTAGCAAATCGGTATCACTGAGTCTAGCCTTCTTCTCGTATCCTGGAGGTGGGAATGGAAAGCAACGCGACATTGCACGCGATAACCTTCCACAAGCTTAAATGCTTCCCCTAGCTTCAGGTGGTGATGTTCCAACACAGGAAAAGACCAGAAACTTCTCTCTTGTCCATGCACCGTGTCCCCACAATCATTTCAAGCTCAGGTAGTGCTCCCCGATCATCTCCAAATTAACCCAATCAAATCTTCCAAAACAACTTACAAGTGGAACTGAATATGTGCAACTGAAAGCACCACAAGACAATCAACTCTATAGCACTATGACACTACAAATTATCTCAACCTGAAAGCTTTGTCGACAGATGAAGCGGGTTGCCAGCAATCGGATCTTCCGTGAGTCCTACAAGGCAATTAGAGTACCATCACCTGCCCATTATGAAAACCACTATCAGGACCGTTCCCTGACAACAATTATGAACAACTTACTTGCAGGAAGAAGACAAAAACACCATGACCTTTAAAGGTAAACACTTGTCAATTTTTTGCCACCATCTACACAAATTTCTAAAAACCATCTAATGGCACCCTTCAAAACCCAATTTCCATCAACCCCTTTTGCAGATTCAATGCGCATAGACTAATTAGAAGAGCTACTGAACCAATAAAATCCAATCCTAGATGGATAGGATTCAACTGACACACGCCTATACTACACCAATGCTCAGGTCCTTTCTTCAAGTTCTGATCATAACCCTAACATTTTTTTTTTCAATTAAAAAAATTAGGGCTCATTACAGTAAAGATCTGATCAAACCCTAACAACATCAATCAACTGATACAACATCAATTAGAACAGAGCAAAAACAAACCCTAATTTCAATTCATCAAACCCACATAATATAAATACTTTTTTGTATATAATATATATAAATATATACTGACGCCAAAATGATAAAATTGTGAAGAAGAAGAAAATCCCACATAAGAAAAACCCAGTTGGAGAGAAGAGGTTGAAATCCATGGTGGTGGATTAGACTAAACAAATATCAGAATTTTGGGTATTTTCGAAGGACTTGGGGATAATAAGTAGACATTGTGCGAAGAGATGAAGAAGATCGAAGAGAAAGGAAAGGAAGCAAAAGACAAATCTCAAAGTGACACTATCTTCGTGTGTCTACCTCTCTTTGTCTATATACATATTGGGGGTGTGTATATACGATGAGTATGTCTTGTCTGTGAGTGTGAATTTTCAGATCCTCGAACAAGTCTTTGGTATGGGTTTTCTTCAGAGAGCCGCCCAACCCTCTCTCTCTCTCTCTCACTCCTCTCCCTAAAAGCCCCAAAAGGGAAGAGAAAATGGTTTAGAAGGGTAATAGCCCTATTTATAAAGGGTTGAGGAGAGAGAAAGTATTGAACGAGAAAAGAAGAATCCGGACGTGGAGAGAGAGAGAGAGTATAATTAGTGTAAATTACACTCACCCCCCCCCGGTAAATTAAATTTTGCTCCTCTTATATTTTTTTATTTTTTATTTTGACCTTTAATTTTTTTCCCCACTTTGGCACCGTTTGGAACAGGTCTGGCCCTGAGTTTTTTGGGACCTAAGGCAAATTAATTTTTCGATGCCTTTTTAGATATTTATTAAAAATAAAAATAAAAATAAAAATCATTTTGTTTGGTTTAGAGTTTTCAAAAATAATTGTCTAAGTTTACAATTTTTATTTTTTTTATATTTTTGTATTTGGTAACATTTTTTCAAAAAAATATAAATATTATAGTTTTTAAGCGTATCTAAATTAGATATATCTACAAAATAAATAAATAAAAATTGTATAAAATATTTTTTTTAAAAAAATACTAAAAAACACATAATTGAGCCATAAAGAGAAAAAAAAAATAGGCCACATAAAATTAGGCTAACGACTAATATATATATATATATTTTATATTTTATTTTTTTAATTGGACTAACAACTAAAACTTATAATATTTTTCAATTAGGCTTTTTATCAATTGGGCCAAATAGATTTGTTGAGGCCTCCTTTAAAATGGCCTAAATTAATTAAACAGAATTGGGCCATCTTAAAATTTTAATATAAAACAAGACTAAATTTGGGGGCCCTTTTTTGGGCCTAATTTTTGGGACCCTAGGCACAGGCCTTACCAGCCTTAGCCCAGGGCCGGCCCTGGTTTGGAAACCCAAGTTTGGGACTAAAAAAGTCTCAAACACTAAAAAGCTTCAAACAGTAGCCGAAGCCATTGTCAATAAGTTGACAAACTACCACAATAAGTAGTAAATGACAATTTTGCCCGTTTAGACCAATTTTGAAAAAATGTAAATGGCCCTATTTGGTAGGACTTATATCTAGCTTATTTCAGCTTTTAGCTTAATTTAAGCTATTTTGATGTGTTTGGTTCATCTTAACAATACAGCTTATAGCTTTTTCTAAGTCAAAAATCAACTTATTCTTTGAGTGTGGGAGGAGAAGCTTAATTTATAAGTCAAAAATCAGCTTATGTTCACAGTTATAAGCTATAAGTTGTTAAGGTATAAGCTATAGACCCTGTTTGGTAGAGCTGTGAGAAAGTACTTATAGCTTATGCCTTAACAACTTATAACTTATAACTATGAACAAAAGCTGATTTCTGACTTATAAATTAAGCATCTCCTGCCCCACTCAAAGAATAAGTTGATTTCTGACTTACAAAAAGCTATAAGCTGCATTGTTAAGGTAAACCAAACACATCAAAATAGCTTAAATTAAGCTGAAAGCTGAAATAAGCAGCTTTTAAGCTGCACCAAATAGGCACATAATCACTTTCCCATAGCTCTACCAAACGGGCCTAATGTCTTAGAGCATCCCTAATGGTGTTTGCTAAAATAGTAGTACCATTGTTATAATTTGGCAATATTTTGCCAAATTATAGCAATGGTGCTCTAATGGTCACACGCTATTTTAGCAAATTTCAACCAATTTTTCTTTCAAGTTTGTAGGTGTTGTTTAGATATAGATTTTTTAGTGATTTTTTTTTATTTTTTGTCTTTTGTGACTTTTTTTAACTGTTTTTTAAAAATACATATATATATTTACATTATTCCCGACTAGACAAATATAAAAAATGAAAAAAAATAAATATGATTAACCCCACCAAAAAACATACCACTACAAAATTATACTAACCGTTGGATGATTTCAAGACACAATTCAAACCATTGGATGATTTCTTAAGCCATGGCTGAGATTCAGCTTCTGGAATCTTCGGGGTTGATGTCATCTTCATTTTCATCATCTCTCTCTCTTTGTTGTTTCAACCCAGGGCTCTCTCCCTCTCTCCATTTCATCTATCTCTCGTTATAAGCTTTCTTCATTTCAGACCCTCCACCTCCATACCAACAACAATACAATCTATATATAAACATAAATATATACATACATATATATATACATATATATGAATAATGCTATATGTACCAATTAATGTACACACTAGTATACTAATAGATGATGTGGCATCATTTGTATGGTTTTGAGTATTTGTAATTTGTATAATAAATATGGTCAATAATAATATCATAACACTAGTTGGTACATGTAGCTCGACCTTTTACACTCCTTTTGGAAGACAATAAGCCCTACAGTATTGGACTCCCGCGGTTCTGAATCTGATCTCACAAGCGCAATGTGAAACAGATAAACACCAAAGAGTCCCAATCCGGCAAATCATTTGGAAAATTAATTTTGAATCAAAATGTCAAAAATAAACTACTTTGTCAGATACATAATCGCCACCTAAATATTTTGAAAAATTTAGAAAATCCATGACTCATGCCAAAGGCCGCGTGTGTGTCATCACTAAAGTTGCCTTGGCTCGAGAACTTAGGTACAAGAGGGGAAGGTCATGAATTGAGCACCCCCGCTCGCCCGATCAAAGATCGGCCTCTACTAATCATAATGTGGTTCTTATCTACATTATATGCTTTTGTTCCGGTTATTAGGCTAACATTACTATATGATGCGCACACAAGTATAGACTAATTTACAAAAATTGAAACATTTGACTTCATGGTTGTTTTTTGAAAGGGTTTGTGAATGTGCCACTTGCAAAAGTGGGCTCAAATGTATATTAATCAAACTATCCCAATTCAAGCAACTAGCCTTCATCAACAGGTATTCAAATTGTTTATCATTTAAGCACTTAACCTCATGGTAAACATGCTAAACATAGCAACAATTACACTTATGCAATATGTTAAAGCAAATAAAAACTCAACTAGTACTCCAAGCCAAAAAAAGATGAAAGAGTTAGGAAAAATACGTGATCCTCACTATGCAATATAACTAATGCAACGCATGCGATATACAATTACTAAACTCGGCTACTAATATGCCATATGAATTAATTTAATAACATGCGTTCTAAACACGTATTCAAAAAAGTATTAACTAACAATGCAAGTTAGAATGATGCGCCGAGCTCAATGCATGCAAGACAATAGATGCAAGGCATGAGAGATGCTAAACGAAACATGATGCCTTAAACTAACCATCATAAGCAGACAAATAAAAAGGAGAAAGACGTAAGGTCAGAAGACATGCACATTATTACAATTGCTTGCCCTCGCACAAGAGAGTCTGAATACTTACTAGCTAAGCTAATTAACTAGCCATTACAACAACAAATTAACTAATTATTGCAAACCGAATAAACTAACTGTGCTAGCTAGTTATTACAAAACCAATAACACAAACTAATTAATTAATTACAAATTCGAACTAACTAATTAATTACAACATGAAATAAATAGCTAAACTAATTAATTAGCCCCAGGAAGCAAAAGATGCTCATGCATACGCGAATTTCCACCTGAAAATCTCACTATTTCTACTGTCATAATGCTTCTGTTGCACAGTAAAACCTCTTTTCACCTCAGATCCTGCTATGTTCTGCTCCAGAAAGTTACTGCTCAATTTGAAAAAAGTGGCCAACAGCCTAGAAGTGGTGGCCGGCCGACCACAAATGGTTGCTTACCGTCCAGAAGTAATGGCCTGCAGGTTCTTCCTACTGTAACAGAAAGCATACAGCGCACAAAACAGGGTATTCTGAAAGTATGTTTGTACACTTTACCCCTCCTTATCATCAAACAGCTCAAAGGAGTAACAAGCTCAATTCACAAGCCATCAATCGATACAATTTCATTGCATGATGGCCTATGAACTCAGATGTACAATTTCAATAAATGCAACAAGAAAAGACTCCCAAACCTCCTCTCTATCATGGATTGATCAAGGGAAGTGGTTGGCATTGACTTTTGAACCGTTTAAATCCCTAACAAGTATGAAACGACTCGAGACTCAATGGATTCAATTAACGTGCTATTGAACCCAAGTTGATTTTATTATCTTACATCACTTTTAGTCTCAATTTTATTACTCCATTTTAATTACTAACCATTCTTTAGTCAATTAAGTTCAAGAGTGAGCTTTAAGTCCTGTAATGGAAAGAAACATCAAATCAAGAGTTGTTTTAGGCATGAGAGAAGTGTCATGCCATTGGTAATAAACCCCTAAAGGGATTAAACCGTTAAACACAACAACCTCAACCTCAAGCTTAAACAAACAATTAGGTTGAAACAACTTTCAAAGAAAAGAAAAAGCAAAGAAATGAGGGAGGTTGCAGAGGTGATTAGAGATGAAAACAAGTATGAAAAACCATAAACAAATGCTATCAACTCAAATAAGTTGGTGGCTAAGGCCTAAACCACCAAACTTATAAGGACTATTACTCTATAAACATGCAATACAAAGCTCAAATGCAATAAAAAACCAAAAACAATCCTAAAACAGTGCTAAATCAGTTCTAAAACATGCTGGAATTAAGACAAAAAATAGCTAGAACAATAAGCTAAAACATGGAACATGTCAAGCTAGTAAACAAACACAAGAAGGGGAGGCTACCCTCTCCATTT